CTGATCTCTCTCTGGCTTTTAATGTCTTGGATTTTGGAATGTGTTCATGGTGTTATATTAACATAGTAATCTCTCGCTTTTTTATCCGGATAGAGGAGGGACATGGGCTCGTGTCTCGGTTTGGTTGCTGATTGGAGTTCTCGTCTACGCTCTCTACGGCCGAAAACACAGCTCCTTGGCCGATGCGGTTTACGTTCCGACAGCTCATGCCGAGGAAATATACCGTTGTGGGACGGGCGATACTTTGGCCTGAAAAGTTTGATTATGAAGATTCAAGAATCAAGATTCGTATCTCTTTGGTTGTAATGTGTAATATCATATAATATGTAATATTGAATTTGTTTGGTCCATGGAAGAAATATATGGTATAATCTATGATATGATATGTAGTAAAAAGCTCGTTGCTTTTTGTGGCTTAGAGTTCAGGAGATTCCTCCAAAACGCTTTGTAAATATATATATAAATTTGCCTACTTCGTTACCGTGAAGATTCGTAAGAGTTCTCTTTTGTTCTCTTTTGCTAATTACTCGTCTTCTAAGGGTTTCCAAAAGTGAATCCTTTTATATTAATTCATTCAACCTATAACAATGTATGTGCTTAAATAGGGTGTATGTTTCGGTGTTCGGTTGAGAATGATTCATTTCTGATTCTTTTGATTTTATAAAAATATATAACAATTTGTTGAGGATTTGATCACCGAAACCTCACCGATCCACTTCGAAACTCTCGTTTGCACAACAACAGGAAAGAAAGGGAGACGACACAGCCATGTACGAGTTCGGTTACCGAGCCGGAGTTCGGGCCTACGTACGTCTCAGGAAGAGGATCAGCGATCTACTAGGGTTACAACCGGAGAGAGACCGCTGGAAGTCGATCGGAGTCAACTTCAGGCACACGGAGAGAAACAAAACTCGCTGCAAGAGAGAGAACATAGCAAAAACAAAAACCGCAAAATCGTTCGAATGAAAGACTGAAACCCTAGGGCTCATTAATCTGCCATTTATAAAAGTACTGAAATACCTTTCGAAACCTCCTAGAGAATCCGAAGCTTTCGGACCCTCTGCTTCATCTAGAAGTATTTGCTGAAGACCAATTCCAATAAATCTCCACCTTCTGCAAAACTTGCAAAACAAACACAAAGCAAACAGAACACGCCTAATCCTAGTATGTCGATCACGTAACTTCCATGTAACTCCCCCTCTGGGCATGGTTCAAGGCGCATTGAACCTACCTTTCTAAGAGAGTCCTTACCGAGCATGTCATAAACACATCTCAGCGTGACACGACGCACCTAGCCTACCCGAGCGAGTGTCCCCCGACACCTCCGCTTCCGAAGACTACCTAAGACCTAGACTAGTATGACTCTCTAGACCGTCTACATGACCCCCTTCGGTGAAGTCTCACACTCCACCTACGGCCCCTGAGGATCAACCCCGACATCTACCTGTCTCCCGAGTCTACCCCGACTGTCCCGAGACTAACCTTGAGTTATACTAGCGAAACCCGAACTCTTGATCCCCGTAGAGATCAAACGACCTACGACCTCTACCCCAAACCTCACCTACCGACTAAGGTATCCCCATGGGTTTTACCCCGTGAAGACTCCCCTAGTCGACCTATAGGAACTCTACCGAAGGCTCAAAACACGTGCACGCACGTGCTCCACCTCGAGAGAAAATGCTCCTAGTGCTACTACCTTCACCGACTCTATCCGGTGACCGGCATTCCCTAACTCGCCCCTTCCTCTGAGCTTCCTACCCGAGGTAACTCCACCTAGACGTGGAGACCTCACCTCCTAACCTCCACCCGAGGAGTAGTCGGAGCATACTAAGAGTACCTCTGAATCATATTCCTGAACCTCGGTCTCCTCCTTCGTCTTCCGGGTCCTATATTCCTTCTTATATTGTCCCTTCTTCCCACAATACCAACACTCCACCTAGTCCTTGGCCTTCTTCTTCCCGACACCCAATTTCTCGGGTTTGCCCTTGACCACTAATCATTCCCTCGTACCTCGATTAAGGGTACCCTGAGTTAGAAGCTCTAGCTCCTTCATCCTAGCTGCCGCCTTCACCTTCTCGACAGAGATTGAGGCTCGGGAATACTTGAAGACCTCTCGGAGCTGCTCGTAAACAGGAGGCAAAGAGTTAAGCAGATAGACCTCTTGATACTCCTCATCTACCTTCACATTAAGGTTGTGAAGGTCCGACAATATCTTACGAAAAATGTCTAAATTCTCCTCTATCGTCTTCGAGGGATCCATCTTGTATCCCGAGACCCTCTACACGAGGTACATTCTATTTGGGAGAGATTGCTTTATGTGCAACCGTTCTAGCTTCCTCCAGACTTCGAAGGACGTCCTTTCGGATAAGACCTTTCTTAGAACCTGATCTGCTAGACACAACACTATGAGGTTCCTAATCCTTCTGCTCCTTTCTTGTCTCTCTTTGAGAGTCGCATACCCGATCCCTTTGCCCCTGGTCCTAATGACCCGGTGGAAAGGATCGTACGCCTCCCGAATCCTCGATTTTCCGAGCTAGAGTTTTTGGGTCCCTTCACCAGTATTCTCCTAAAAGGATGGATCATCCTCTGGCGTGTCACCTAGCCTTAGTATTTCAAGGCTTATGGCCATCTTCTCCTTCCATAAGGAGAAGTCACCATTGCCGTCGAACTTTTCGACGTCAAGGCGCTACATTTGTGCAAACATCGCTAAAGGAAACCTACCTCCCCAACACTAAAACACAACCTAGGATGATCTGATATGAGTCTAAAGACGGCTCTAAACACCGGGGAATGACTAAACCGATCCTAGGAGTACCTGAAACCAGATCTAAGGAGTGAGATCGATCCTAAGGGGACCTAAATATAGGTATTTTTCAACCTAACAGACCTAATAGACTCTAGAGCCGCCTACCTAAGATCTGATTACGTCTAACCAGACCTACCCCAAGCCTAACACTGACCTAATCAACCTAGATCAGACCTAAACCGAATCTATTATGTCCCTTTAAGTCCTAATTAGATCTAAATCAAGTCTCACCTGACCTATCTAAATCTGATCAGACCTAAACTTAGTCTATACAAACCCTTAAACCTCTAATCAGAACTAAATCAAGCCTAAGATGACTTAATCTACTTCTGATCAGACCCTAGAATACACTAGGACGCCCAACTTGACTAACCTAGGCGTGACCAAGGCTTAAACAACCCTAACAAACCTATGTCGTCCTAAATCAGACCTCTAAAATCAGCTAATCTAGTCAAGCCTTCCTGTTCAGATGTAAACCGGTCAAAATACCAGACTCTATGACACTCAACATCTAATGTGAGATCTAAACAGGGTACTAGACTGACCTAAACAAAGGTGAACCGATCTATACAGACCCTGAAACTACCCTAAACTAGTCTAAACAGTCCTAAACCGGACACTTCTAACCTCTATCGAGCCAATCAGACCTACTACCATCCAATCCTAGTCCTAATCAGGCAAGCCTAACCAAGAACCGGACAATCTAGACCTTAACCAATCGATACATACCCTAAAATCGATAATCCCAGCCCAATTTAGACAAGCCATACCAAATTATACCTAAACCGGCCCAAGCCGACCTAAATTTACCTAAACCGGACTCAATTGACCTAACCGGTCCTAGATTGACCTAAACCGGTCTGGGTTATCCCGAACCGGACCTAAATTGACTTGAACCGATCTGAACCGGTCCAATCAACCCCAAACTGGACCTGAACCGATCTAATTGACCTGAACCGATCTGGTTTTCCTAACCTGGTCAACTGTTGACCAAGATTGGTCAACCTTTGACCTAAAACCTGACTAAACCGGTTTGATTTTGAATCAAACTCGGTTCAATTAAAAAGTTTGGTTGAGTCGGCTAAATCGGATCAGAACCGAAAACCCTAATTTGGAACGCGGAAGCCGCCGAGTTAACCCGAGCCAAATCGGACGTTGACTCACCCCGAAAAATGACTCAGTCGTGACTCGAACAAGTCACGACCGAGATTCGCCGGAAACCACCGGATTAGAACCGCCCCCCGCCCCCCACAACCCTAGATCTAACACAAGACGCGACCGACTTACCTCTGGAAACTCAAACTCGTCCGATTTCTTCGACCCGAGTTAGCTCCGAGGGAAATCTTATTTTTCCTCTCCTCCGATCTGATCACCACCTGAGGATTTGACCACTGGTTCAATCTCCCGAGCACCGCCTTTCGCGTTTCAGGACGTGAAACACTAGAAAACACGTTAGAAGGCTCAGATCGGAACCACTGATACTCAGACTTACCTGGATGACCTAGACACCGCCGAAATCCTCCGAAAAATCGCTTCGACGAGGGTTCCTGATACCACTTGTAGAGGATTTGATCACTGAAACCTCACCGATCCACTTTGAAACTCTCGTTTGCACAAGAACAGGAAAAAAAGGAAGACGACACAGCGATGTACGAGTTCACCGTGCCGGAGCTCTGGCCTACGTCTCGGGAAGAGGATCGGCGATCTACTAGGGTTACAACCGGAGAGAGACCGTCGGAAGTCGATCAGAGTCGACTTCAGGCACACAGAGAGAAACAAACCTCGCTGCAAAAGAGAGAACAAAGCAAAAACAAAACCGCAAAATCGTTCGAATGAAAGACTGAAACCTAGGGCTCATTAATCTGCCCTTTACAAAAGCACCGAAATACCCTTCGAAACCTCCGAGAAAATCCGAAGCTTTTGAACCCTCTACTTCATCTGGAAGTATTTGCTGAAGACCAATTCCAATACAATCGGTTTTATAAAAAAATACCATTCGATAATTTGGAACGGTTCGATTCAAAAACGCTACTATATTTTTAAGTTCGGTACAATTCAATTCGGAAGAACACCCTTACTGGTAACGTACTCGCCCGAAATGCGCCGAATAGATATGCCCTTAAAATGCTGTTGGGACTTTAGACACTTGGTGCTTGTGGATATCATTTTCAGTGGAATGGAATTTCGAGATTCCACCAAAAATCGAACTTTTATACGGAACTTCAATGAAACTTTTAATTTGTCCATACCACGACAAATCTCTTCATGGGAAAATTATGGAGTTTACGTGTATATAATATGCACTTCATATTTGTAAAGGTAATAAGAATAATTACTGATTAGTTTAAAAGTTAATATTTATATATACGTCATATATATATATATATATATATATGTGTGTATATCCATAATACGTCTGTCTTTTTCAACAATAATGCAGATTCTTGAAAAAGATTATCGAACGAATCTATGGTTATATATGTGGTTCAAAGAATCTAAACAAAAAATCGAATCGAATTTAGTTTGGTGGATTCACTCGATTCAAATCCTCTATGTTTAAATAGTTGTAACAATGATATTGAATTTAATTAATATGAATCCGATTGATGAAAAGCATTGGTTGAGTGGGGAACTCACCGAAACTACAGCACGAGAATGACATAATGGGAAGAGTTGACTTTTTGG